CACACACACACACACACACACACACACACACACACACAATGTTCAACCCATTTAGGAATGTAGTATTTCCCACCTGAAGTTTCCATATTATAATAATATTTATATTGGTGACACAGGGTCTAAGTGGGTGGTGATTGAGCAAAACAGGATAACCCTAACTCCAAACAAACAAACAAAACAAGAAAGGGTGCTGCACAGTGCCCATCAGCAATGGCAGGTTTGTGAAATTGTTTTGCATTTATTTATATATATATATTATATATTGTGTATTTCCAATGCTTAGTGTGCATCTATGTCTGGGTGTTTTATCATGAATTTATGCACATAATTATTAATAAATAATAGAGATCAGACAGCATTTGTACAGCGCAAATCCCCGCTCAACAGCAAGCTCTATGAGCTTCACAATCTATACTATTACCCCAGCAGACCTGAGAGCATTCTGAAACAACCTCAACTTCCTGGGAAGCATACAGTGCAAGCAGCCTTTTATAGGCTCTAAAACACTAACATACTGACAAGATCATTCGTTGTCTATGGCCGGGTACCCATTCCCACCTGGGTGAAGTGAAGAAAATTTGTGTCAAGTGACTTTCCCAAGGACACAACGTCGGGCCCGCGGCTCAAATCCCCGAACCTGGAACCTCACGATTACAAGTCCAGTAGCCTAACCACTAGGCCACCGACGCCAAGGTACTGAATTTGGAGGAAAGGATGGGGGGGGGTGAGAGAAACATACGATGAAGTTATCTTGTTGTGTGTGAGGAAAAGGGGGGGGACTACATTGTGTCAACAAGAGATTATAAATTACACCCTCACGCACTCACTTCTTAGACATCAATCAATCAGACAGTTGTGTTGGTTATTCGGAAGGAGAAAGGGCATAAATTTACAACATTAACCCTATCCGTATGTCGTGTTTTACTATCATATCCATACAATGTGGGGAACTCTGTGCCACCACTTTCCAAAGAGGAAATTTACTTGTTAATTCGATCCGTTCGCTTTGCATAGCAGCCTGTCAAATTGATTTTTGAGAAATACTGAAAGTTTCAAAGAGATCTTCGTACTACAAGTGCATGTATTCTAAAATGTGAAGAATATAACCCCCTCGGCACAAAATGACCATAGGGCGCACGGATAGGGTTAAATTACATTACTCCTGTATGAGAATATATGTGTGGGTCTCTGAGTCGTGTGTCTGTGCGTTGATAAATTCTACGGTTTCACAATGTAGTCTACATTTTTCAGTCTTTTGATATATACAGCCGAACTTGTGTAAGACGGCCAACCATTGTCAAGGAGAAAACTGGCCGTATAAGACAGGTGGCCGTCAGGACTGATCAAGATGAAGAAAACAAACCCCATTCCCAATCAAAAGTAGCACATTATTGTTGTGTTTGTTGTTGTTGTTGTTGTTGTTGTTGTTGTTGTTGTTGTTGTTGTTGTTGTTGTTGTTGGTTTGTATTTTGTTTGTTCTTTTTATTTTGTTGCTGATTTTGTGCAAGGGTGACAATAAAACGAAATGTGTCAGACAAGGAGGACCGAGTGCTATGGTAAAACAAACATATGGGTCGCCACCATTCGAAGAACGAGCGACGCTTCTGTCACAAGTCCATGTTGACGTCCATTGTTACTTTGTTACAGACTGGGTAAACAGTAACCACTCATCTCACTTACAATTTGTGTATGAGTTCTGGGCGGGGCTTAAGGGTTATGAGGGATCACACGCTTCCCTCACCAGCAGCTGGAAATTGGTACCTATTGGTCAACACTGGGAGGGGCCTACACGACATGATCGGTTGGAGGGACTACCTAACAACAACGACAGGTGATTGGATTATGACGGCTCGCCCACAACGTCAGGGGTCAATGCACAATTAATGACAAAACGTAATGGAGTCACTAAGGTGGCCGTCTAAGACAGGTGTTATTGCTTGATGTGATAGGGGTTGTGTGTTGAATTATGGTGGCCACGGCCGCGTTGGACAGGTGCCTGTTTTACACAGTTAAATTATATAGAAAAAAAACGCAAGGGGGGAAATGGAAAGTGGCCGTTTGTACATGTGGCCGTCAGGGCAGGTTTGACTGTATATGTCAGTTGTATTGAATGTTAGTTCTGTGCTTTACAGCACTTACGGCCTCCTCACACATTCTATTACTTTATTTAAATTAATATCACATTAAAATTTAATTATCATTATTTTTGTAATTTTTATAATATAAGATAATTGTACCAATTGGCTAAATGACCCTAGTGTTGAGAAGGAAGGACTTCCATAACGAGCAACCACCCCAAAAAACACATTAAAGATGAGACCTAACCCTAGCGTACCCTATCCCTAACCCTACCTCATCCCCTACCCGTAGCCCTCTATTCTGTCTCATAGTGGCCACTCGTTGGAAGTCCTCCTGTTGAGAGATATCATATATACAAAGTATCGCAATAAACTTTTAGCCTTGGGGGTTTGATCTTTTTAGATTTTTAGGTTTTTTACAACTTATAATTTATCTTTACTTTTGAAAAAATTTAGATCATTTAGGAGGAAGGCTATTCAGGGCCAATCCGGGCTGAGATCAGGGATACAAAGTCCTAGCAGAATTAAGACTAAGATACTTGTTAAAAATTCTTCCTACGAGGGAATCAAACTCAGGTTTTCTGTGTGGCGTGCTAGCGATCCAACATATCTTCAGAGTGAACTCAAAATATTTTTGAGACCTCTGAATTATAAGCGAAGGAACTCCTGAACATCAAAACAATCATTAGGCCTAAATATTATATAATTATTTTAATTTTATCATCAAGTCAGCAGAATCGAATTACACTTCAAGAAACCTACCGCGATGGAGGGATTTGATGAGTTTTGAGAACCGAAGTCACTATTTCTCAGAACGCCCGCAAAAATAAACTTGATCTGTATTTCTCCGAACGATTTCCGTTCTCAAGATTTTTTGTTTATTTACGAGATTTAGGGATCATCTTATCGGCAGAATGAAAGATGACGGCTAAATCTCAGCATTTTTTGCATCAAATTCAATTTCTAGAGCTCTAGAGATTTTTAAATGTCTGAGTATTCAGAAACTTCAATTGCAGTTGGGGCAACGTTCCTCATTTGAAAATGCCTTCAAAAGGTACTGTGAGAAAACAAGACTGCTGCTCGACCTTGGCAATAATACCTTTATTTTGCATTTAGTCACCCCGAAAACAAAAACTAAAATTCTTCATGTAGCCAGATACAAAAAAAATCCCTCCACGCCCCCACACACACACACACACACACACACACACACACACACACACACACGCACACACACCGATTAAAAGAAAAAAAAACTAGTGAGAAAGTTGTGCCTGTAGTTCAGCGACCAATCTTGAAATTCTCGGGGAAGTCTTGGATAAAGCAAGACGCATGTATATGATATATTACAGTGGAACTCGGATTCAACAAGCTCGGATTCAACGAGAACTCGGATTCAACGAGATGAGATAGATACCCCGTTTATTTTCTTCTTTAAAATCAATAAAAAATAACCTGGATTCAACGAGCACTTAAATCAGAGAGCCTGGATTCAACGAGGTCGCTTCCAGGCTGACTCCCAGAACGAACTTTATCTCTTCCCGGAAACCATCCATTGCACCTGCATCGTGAACCATTATTCACTTAGCCGATTGCATGCGACCAATCAGCGGCCTTTTTTCATACCAACACACGCGTTGTTGGCTCGCGCACGTGTCTACTCTGGCGTGTGTCGGGGTCGGATGGGCGGCTTGCACACGTGTGGCTGTTTGTGCGAGTCGGG